AGCTCAGAGTGTTATTTCATTATCAGAATGTTTAGCACTTATGTCGCTAAATATTTAGCACCTGATATGGTGCAAAACAATTCCCCATGCCTTTTTTTAACCAATCTTCTGTTCTCCTCCACAGTGCCCAACATTAACCTAGGCAACTGTGAGGATGGAATCTAGAAACAGACTAAATCAGTGTGATTATTTTGTTCATTAGGCTTGTTGTTAAGTCTCCAGGTGTTTCCCAAACAGTCTATCAGCTTTCTGTAGTCCATATTGGAGAATAAAACTGTCTGCTGAATTTGAATGCTGAGCACTGATTTCAGGGTCCCGGCAAGGAAGAGGTGAGATGACGCCGGCTGACCTGTACCTCCTACAGAACAAGTAGCTGCTGTGTCAGGCGGGAGGAATTACTGTAAAAGGAAGAAAGTGCTGCCAGCCACTCACCCCTTCTTAATACAGTGCCAAGGGCTTCTCAGACCTCATGGAACTTGCCACGCAACTAAGAAAACCAAGTGAAGAAAGGAATAGAAAAGAAAATGCCAGGCGCTGGAAAACATCACTGGAAATTAGAACAAATCTCAGTTACTTCCTAACCTGGATCTCCTGAGCTTTTCTGCCATTACCCAGCAGGAGACCCAGGCAGACTCATAAACGGAAATCAACTGTGAAGTGCACCCAGTTGTTTTTGTGTTCTTTTCCCTATTAAAGCTAGGAAAATGTCTTCCTGCCTTTGGCTGACAAGCTTCGTGACTGCCCAGGTTTGGGTTCCCAGATCCCATGGCTTCAGGTCACCCCATGCTCCACTGGGCTTGGGCACCACCGGGCCCTCCGGTTACTAAACCATCAGCGAAAAATCAGGGAGAAAATTAACATACGGCCATACCCAGTTCGGCGATTTACCCAAAAGGCTCCCTCCAGGCTCGGCGGGATGCTGTCTGTGCTGGGAGGAAATAGACGGCTGTGGGAAGAGCCTGCAATGGACTGGGCGGTCTCCAAAGGAGTTTTCACCACAACAGGGTGGAGAGGTCACTGTGGGACCTGGGTCCCTCCGTGATGCCGCGAGGGCCTCCAGTGTGGGCGGTGGCATGGAGACACACTGGTCTTCTGGGTTGCCTGTGCCAGGGCAGGTGTGGGCCTGATGAAAGCAGCACAGCTCCAACAGGTCACAAGCTCCAAACTCCCCCTACACCTTTCATCACCAGCCGGACCCTGAAGCCCCTTTCCTGACTCCTAAGCCCTGTGGCGCCACCTACTGGAAGAGGCAGAAGCCACATCTACTGCAGGTCTGGCCAGGTCGCATTCATTCATTCACACAGGCATTGATTTGTTCAGCCTTGCATCAAGGCCCTGGACTGAGCAGCGGCCAGTCCTAGGAAGCAGGGATCCAAAGATTAGCTGGGCCTCGAAATCTCCATTCGGTATGCTCCTTGGACCCCTTTGGTAGGTCTTACAGAAGAACCCAACTCAAGCAGTTTTAGTTGAAGAAAAAATTAAAGAGTCCTAGGTCATTGCCAAGACCGAGACATGGTCCCAGGGGACTAATGGCTCATCATTTCATTTGCAAAGCACTTTGCCTGCAGCATCTACCTGTAAGAACAAGTCTCCCTTTACTATGAAGAAGAAATGTTTAAACAGTCTTAGGAGACTGCGTTATCAATACTCCCCTCTCAACACCCCAGGTCCCTGAAGGGCATTAGCCTCTTGTGTGATCTATTTTAAACAGCTTTTCCTTATTCCATGCGTGTATACACACACACACACCACACTTAAATACTGTTAGTGCGTATTCTATGGAAATAATGAAAACTTGACTCTTTTTAATATATTCTGTCATATTCTGAAACACTAAAAAGTACCTGACCAATAGTAGGAATCATATGCTGAACTCCAAAAGCCCCTTTTCTCCAGTGTTCTCCATGCAGGATCAAGAAAAAGCAAAGCTAACGCCACAGCTTTCTTTAACCTGCTCAAGCTGATGTGCGAGCAACATTGTTCTCTGACCATTTGTAAAGAAAGTTAACTGTGATCATTATTATTATTACCTTATTACAGCGATTCTTACTCTGCTGAATTGCTAAGTAGTTAAAAGAAAAGCACAGTGTGTCTTGCACTCTGAGAACACATGTTTCTCCCCTCTGCCTTGTCTCTAGCAGATAAGGGACATTCTGGTGTTTTATTTGTTCAATGGTTGACTATTAAGACACTCATTTGCTAGCTGGAGCCTGCAATGGAAAATCAGCCCAGAAAAGTGGGAGGCTGGCACAGGCCCAGAGCAGACAGGGCACCAGAGGCGAGGCAAGGCTTGAGTGTGCCACTCCAGCCTGAAACCCAGGGTCAGAAGCTCGTCCTTCCATGAACTTCCAGGCTGTTCCCAGGCACTGACCTCCAGTCTCCTATTCAACCCTCAAAACACACACACACACACACACACACACACACACTCTCACACATGCACACACTCCACAGAAAAGGTGAGGGTGCAAGGACTGGTGCATTCCATGTCTTGGAGTATGTTGGGAAGAGACGGATGCACAGCCCCGGCCACTGGCAACTTTTTTGGTTCTCGACTCTTTGGTTCGTCACCATTACTGATCTTCTGAGGCAGTCCTAGACTCCTCTTCTGTCTCCTGAAACTCTAACCCCTATTACAGCTCACCCACTCCCTTTAGTGATTAGCCACAGCAACCTCTTCCTTGTCAATGTTCATCCTCTTCTAGGTCTGCCTTCCCCGCCTCCACCACCCTCCTCCCCTCTCCTACCCCAAAAACCTGGGCAATGCCAACCAACTAAAGAAGAGAAGATGGAGAGCAGAGGGGGGACAGGGATCTTGGTGCTCTTCCACCTGGGAACCGCATCTAGAAATGGAGGCAAAACTGCTCCCATGAATTATATAATCACTGCAGCTTCAAGGGAGAGAACTGGAATTCAGGTTGCCATAGTGTTTGTTGGCATGTTGCTGGAAAGGTAGAGCTCTCAGCCACTGGTTCCCTTGCTCCCTTCCCCTCTACCTTTCTCAGGAACCTCTCTGGGGTTGGCACTCCTACTTTTAATGTCGGTTCCCAGCATACGGCGGGGAGATGCTGAGACGCAAAGGGGCAAAAGAAAACAACCAGAGTAAGGAAATGGGATCAGAAGGGGTTTAATCCTGCCCTAAGAGGAGTCCTTGTAAACTAGTTACGATTATCATCCTGTGAATAATCATTATTATTACCACAGTACATTGCCATTGACAGTGATACTTAGGGCAATACTACAGAGCTCGCCTCTTCAATGCTGCTTAGACTGAGGAGGTGGGTAAAGCACGCAGTCTCAGAACCTGGAGGGGAGTCATCTTGCATCCCCACTCTTCACAAATACCACTCTCTTTTGTGTCTCCCTCCCTCCCTCCTAAACCATTCACTACCCCATCAGCTACAGAAGGGACAGGGGAGCAGGTGAGGGATGGGGTCACCAGTAGAGAAATCCAAACATGGACGCTGCCCTTGTGACCCCGAAGTCCTGTCTCACCCCAGAACCCATGACCCTTGACAAGATTCTTTCTTCCAAAGGAGGCCAAAATCCCCATGCTGCCACCCATGCTGGAAAGCAGAGAAGACTGGCCCCAAAATCAGTCTCAGGAGAGATGGAGACCAGGCAGGCCGGCTGGCAGCTTCTGGCTCTAAAGAGTGAAGGCCCTGTCCCCAGAAGGTGGAGCTGGGAGCAAACAGAGGGGAAAAGCTGGACAGAAAGACCTGGAGACAACTCCTTCCACCAGGCTGGTCTTCGGAGGATCACTTGGAAGAACCCAGGGAAGAACAGAGACCAGCAGTGACAGACAGGCTTTCAGGGCAAGAGAAGAGGAAGAGTGGAAACAGGGAGGCTCCGGGAACTGGGAGAGAAAAGGGCGAGACTACACCAAAGAGACAGAGAGAGCAGTGGCGAGAAGAAAGAGATGTCACGCCTGGAGGTTGCCAGAAAGCCCCGAGGGACCACCCTGTCTGCACTCCCCCGCCTCAAAACCTTAAATGCTGAGCAACGTCAAAGAAAATAACTTGTTAATATGGGGGGAGAGCGGCGAGGGAGAAAGTTTCCAGGAAGTAGGGAGTTACCTGACTGCCTTTCACCATCACAGGGGGAGCTGGTGACACTTGCGGCCAAGGATGGAGATGCTCGGAAAACACTGGGCAATAGTATGGAGCCGTGTGAGCCAGGCACACCCTTCCATGATCTCCTTCAAACACGAAACAGCAAAGCCCACACACCGCCCGGCTCCTCGCCGCTTCCATCCTCAGGTGCTAGCCCACATATGGGTGCGAATGAGAACACACGCGGCGTGGGCGCGCTCGGGGTCAACGGCAGTGGAGAGGTGGGTGGGTGTAGGTGAGCGGCGGAGGAGGGAGGGAGAGAGGAAGAAGGGGACCGACGGAGGGGGAGCGAGAGGGGCGCGCTGGGGCTCACATCTGCACCGCCGCCCCCACCCGCCACCTGGAGCGCGCCGCCCAGGGCAGGGGCGCCTGGACCAGAGTGGACGCCGGGCAGCGCCAGGGCGCCCCAGGGGCGGCCGTGGGCGCCGGGCTCTGCCGGCGCGGGGTGCGCGCGCGCGCGCTCCCAGCCGCGCCCCGAGCCGGGCGAGGGACCCCGGGCCTCTGGGCTCCGCGGCGCCGGCGCCCTCTGCCCCCCGCGCGGCTGGCCAGGCAGCCGGGCTCTCCAGGCGAACGCGAGAAAGCGAGGCGGCGGCGGCCACTTGGGGAACTTTTCCCCCCTCGCCTGGAATTTCATAGGAAACACATGCTCTGGAGAAGCTGGGGCCCGGGGGGGGAGGGGCGGGAATTTTCCGCTCCGTCTCGCGCGGCGGTTCGGGCCCCGGTCCCGCCGGGCTCCCGGGCGCTCCGACGAGGCGGAGGCGCCCCTGGCGGACGCGGCCCCGGGCCACTCTGCAGGGACCGACCCCGGGGCCTCGGGGAGCGCGGGGAGAGCAGGAGCCCGGTGGAGAAGGCAGGGAGCCCCGGCGAGGCGGCGGGGTCCAGCCTTACCTTGGTGGTTTTCCTCTGGAATGTACATCCTCGTATTCTCATTGACCATGGACCAAAAATGGTTTTCAAAGGAGGAGCAGCCACGAAGAGGAAGAAATGTGAAAACACCCCCCAGCGGGTCTGGATTAATCCCTCCTCCGAGGCCGGCGGCTTTCGTGCAAGATTCGAGGAAGCCGTGGTCTGCAGTGTTTCTTCTTCCCTGCCGACGATTACCTGATTCCCATTATGGCATCAAACCCCAAAAACTGCTCCTTTCCACTACTGCCTCCTCGAGTGAAATTGTAATGCATCCTCAGTACATCCGGGCCCCTTCCAAGAATTGAGCACCGCACCTCTGGCGGCTACACCATTTGAAAAAATAAATCGGGAGAGGCAGGGCGAGAAGAGGCGGAAAGGAGGGGCGGGGGGCGCGCGGGGCCCGCCTGGGCCGGCAGGGGCCGAGGCGCCTCTGCCCACTGCCGGCGAGTCCTCCTGAGGCCCCTGCCCGGCTCTCTGCTGTCAAAGGGAGCCGGCAACTCCTGGGCGCGGAGGCAGGAAGAGCCGCCGCCGCCGCTCCGGGCCCGCTGCGCCGCGCCGAGCGCCGCTCTGGCAGGAGCTGTTTCTGCAGAGGCAGCGAGAGGGAGACACCGGGCGCGCGAGAGCGCCGCGCTCACTCCCCCCGGCCCAGCCCCGCCGCGCCCGCGCCCGCCCCTGCCCGCGCCGCCCGCCCGCCCGCCCGCCCGCCCGCCCGGCGCGCCGGAGGCAGACGCGCTGAACGCTTCCAGATGTGGCGGCGGCGGCGCGCAGGGAGCCGGGCGCACGGCGCGGGGCGCACGGCGGCGGACTGGAGCCCGAAGTTGGGCCCCCTCTCGGCGCCCGCGGCAACGCCGCCCGAGCGAGCCCTCGGCCCGCATGACGTCAAGGGGAGCGGGCCCCGGCCGCCGGCGGGCGAGGGGCGGCGTGAGGAGCCCCCGGGGAGGCCGAGGCGCGCGGGGGACCCGGACGCCCGCCTTGGTGGCCGCGGTGGCCGCGGCGCGGACACACCCCCTCGCGCCCCGCCGGCGGCGTCGCGCCCCCCGCGCCGGCCTGCAGCCCCCCGCCCGCGTTCTCTCCTCAGCTGCGGCGGCGCGTCCCTGCTGGGCCGGCCACGCCGGGAAGGCCTCTGTGAGCGGAATTCCAAGGAGGAGGAATACAATTTGCCCAACGACCAGAGTCTGGTTTCGGATCGGGCCACCGAACAAAACGGCAAAATGAGCCGTGATTCCGTGATTCTGTTTGATCAATTATAATCAGAGCGGTTGTAGAAGTGACAGATAGAGGAGGGGAGGGGAAGCGGGAGGGGCGGCGAGGCGGAGCCTGGTAGGCGAGGCAGCGGTGCCCAGATGTCTGAACAGATTCCTAGACCCAGGTTTGCTAATTCTTTGGAGGCAGCCGAGCACGTGTTCTACTAGGATATCCTTACCTACTTCTCTTAATTATTTCTGCAACTCCGGCAGGAACCTATCCAGCACCTCTCCTTCCCGGAGAAGCAAACACTTCCCTCCAGAACTCCCTGCAACCGCAGCAAGTTCCACGGCACCCCCTGCAGGACCGGGCTCCCCTCCAGTAGGGCTTCGTGATCCCTTTCAGGGGGGCCTACAACTCCCTCTTGGGGAAAACCTCTACCTGCCTCCACGTAAGACCTCCTCGCTTCCACATCCACTCTCATTCCCTGGGGGACCCTAACCATTCCCGTGGCTTTCAGCAGCTGTCTATATCAAATGTCTATCTCCAGCCCAGACCTCTCTCCTGAATTCCAGACTACAGCCGACTCTGTCTGATAGACATCTCAATCCTAATACATCCAAACCCAGAATTCCTGATCTCTTCAAAGCCTGCTCCTCACACAGCCTTCCGCTTCGCAGTCGATGACAATCCCATACTTCTAGTTGCTCAGATCAAAATCCTGGAGTCCCTCTTGACTCCTTTCTCTTATCATTCCACGTCTAGTCCATCAGGAGATCCTGTTGGCACTGCCTTCAGGCGAATCCAGAACCTGACCACTTCTCAGTTCCTCCACTGCCACCGCCCGGGGCTGAGCCAACATCGTTCACCCAGGTTTCTCCAGTAGCTGGTCCCCCTGGCCTACCTTCCCTCTCCCCTCCTTTGGTATTTTCTCAATACAGCAATCGGAGTAACCCATTTAAAACATCACATCACAGCTCTCCTCTGCTCAAAACCCTCCGTGGTTACCCATTTCACTTAGTAAAAGCCATGGTCCTTGTGGTGACCTACAGGAATGGCCGAGTACAAATCTTCTTGCATCATCTCCTACTGCTGTCCCCCTCACTCAGGATACACTAGCCTCTTGGCCGGGCCCCAGACAGTCCCGAAATGACTCCCCAACACACCACACATTGTAAGCCCTTTGCTCTAGCTATTCCCACTGCCTGGAACACAAACGCCCTCGGCTTCTTCAAAGCTTTCTGCAAATCTCACCTGTTCAATGAGGCTCACCAGGACCTCATCCTGATTCATCCTGACGGACCCCCACAGCACTCCCAATCTCCCCTTACTCTTATTGAATCCCTGCCTAACATAGTATATAGTTTACTTATTCATTAACTTTATTGTTTATTGTCTGTATCCCCCCACTGGAATGTAACCCCCGTGAAGACAGGAAGTCATCTATTTTGTTCACCAGTGCCTGGAGCAGTGTCTGGCAGATAGTAAGTACATAATATGTGTTGAATGAAATGAATGAGTGCCCGAGCACTTTCAGGAGTGTTGCAGTTCCCCCTATCAAAATGCATCTTGTTGGTCCCTTAGTTGATACCTGAAACCTTACCACTCCTGTTTCCTTCCTTTGTCCAGTGGTTCTGGCCCCAGTTTAAAATGCAAGTGCCCCTGGGAGAGGTATTAAGCTGTATCAGTTATCTTCATTCTAATGTGAATAGCGATCTCAATTTTGTTGGTTACAAGAGAAATCTGGCCTCTTTGCCATTCTGGTGTGTTCATACTCAATTTTCAACCTAATAGAGAAAATTAGAAATGACACAAATTCAAACATTTCCCACTTACTTTAGGATGCATCATAGGCCTGTGTTTCAGAGGCTGCTGTAGCTGATAATTTGTTTAAATGAATACTAAAATTGGTTTGCATCCCCTTTACACACAAGTGCAGGAATAATAATAATAGCTAACACTATTGAGTGCTCTGTGCCAGGTACTGTGACAGGCATTTTACAGCCTTTATCTTATTTAATCCTCATTGCAACTCAATAAGCTATGTGTTATTGTCATTATTATCCCCATTTTATAGATATGGAAACTGAGACTTTGAGACTTAAATTACAATGTCCAGGGTCACCCAGGTGAGTAACTGTGGAGCCTGGACTTAGCCCAGGCATATCTGACACCAAACTCAGGCTCTACCATTATCTTACTCCTTCTTCTGAGGGGTGACGTGTGGGTGAGCTGGTGGGGGCAGGGCTGCAGGGAGATGAACAGTGTGAAATGATTGCAAAATATGCTGTAGATAATTCACAAAGAGCCAAGTCACTGGGAACAGAGTGTATGTGTGTTAGGGGGTCACGTGCAGGATTGATAGCCCAGCTTTTCTAAAGGTAGGCACTGTATAAATCTAGCAAGTAAATATTACCTTCATGCTTCTTTAGTTTCATTTTTCACTTCTCTTTTCAGCTGTGAAATGTGTTCTTTCCTTTCCAGAAAAAGGTATTTCCTAAATATTTGGTCTTGCAGTATACGCCCATATCCCAGCTTTTAACTTGGAACACAGCCCTGGGTGTGCTCTTTCGAGGTAACAAATACTCAACGTGACAAAAGGAGACCATTGTGAATTCTGATTTGGGGATTTGGGAAGTGGTGGGAGCAGAGGAGGGAGTCTGTTTTTCTCTGTCATTGAATGGTTTGATTCTCCAGCTAAAGAATCTCCCATAGGTCTTCATGTGTGCCCTCTTTCTACATAGTGTTATGCTTATATTTGCATGAGCCTTTTCTCTCCTCTTCCTTACTACATTTTAGGTGTCTTCAAGAAGAGAACTGTGTTTATTCTTTGTGCATAACATAATGCTTTGTACATATGGACACTCAATTTGTGTTGAGTGCATGATTCACTCTGGAAAAGATTTTTAAATGTGACCACAGATATTTTCTTTGGAAGCAATTAAGAGTGCACTGAATTTGTTAATTACAGTGTATTTGTAAGAGTGAAAACCTGGAAATGAACTAAATATTCAACAAAAATGTTGGTTAAATAATAACACTGAGGCCGGGCGCGGTGGCTCAAGCCTGTAATCCCAGCACTTTGGGAGGCCGAGACGGGCGGATCATGAGGTCAGGAGATCGAGACCATCCTGGCTAACACGGTGAAACCCCGTCTCTACTAAAAAATATAAAAAACTAGCCGGGCGAGATGGCGGGCGCCTGTAGTCCCAGCTACTCGGGAGGCTGAGGCAGGAGAATGGCGTGAACCCGGGAGGTGGAGCTTGCAGTGAGCTGAGATCCAGCCACTGCACTCCAGCCTGGGAGACAGAGCGAGACTCTGTCTCAAAAATAATAATAATAATAATAATAATAACACTGAGAGATTATTCTAAGTGCCTCACATATATAAAGTCATTTGCTCCTCCAAACAACCCTGTAAAGGAATTGCTTTTATCCCCATTTTACCAGTGAGGAAACCAAAGCACAGAAAGGTTTACTCACTTGCCCATGTTTTCACAGCCAGTTAATGTTGAAAGACCTGTGATTTGAACCCCAGCAGTCTTCAGAGCCTATGCTCTTCACCACCACATAAATGAACTAGAGTGCATTCACACAGTGAAAGTCTACGTAGACAAGAACAATATTAAGAATATTAGTAACGTGGAAAAAAATGATTTACACTAAAAGAAAAACAAGTCACAAAAATATTACAGGCAATATGATTTCATTTTCCTTTTAATGTCAGGTTTATATTTGAACTAGGGAAAAGACTAAGTAAGGTTCACACCAAAATGTTGACAGTATCCTCAAGCTGGGGTATGTGGGGGGAAAAAAATGTTGACAGTAGCTTTCTTTGGGAGGGGGATTACACGTAAATGTTTCTTCTTCTTCTTCTTCTTCCTTAGCTGGCCCAAGGCTTGGAAAGCCAGGTTGCCAAGCAGGCTCTTCCTCTTCCCTTAGCACACACACCTCTTGACACAGAGCCCTCCCCCCACTGCCTAGCCAGGGAAGACACCGCTAATAAATCTCTTCAGAATAACTCTGTCATCAAGTCTGCAAGGTGTCCCTTCTATTTCTCTCCTTCTGCCCACCACAACAGCCACTCAGCACTAAATGCTGCCACGCACCTGCAAAAAATTACCTGTCCAGTGTTTCCAGCCCAAATGCATTACATTGTCCTCATTGCAATCTGAGCTGCCTGGTTGAAGCATCAGCCACTCTGTGTTGGTGGTAGAGAGCTAGGAACACCAAGATGATGGGTAAATCTTAACAATGACCTTTTGGGAAGATGTTTCATCCTTAATTTCTAATCCACATAATTGCCTGTATATAAGGGTGGACATTTCAAACCAGGTAAAATTGATTAGCAAGCCAGAGTAGGAAGAGGGGAGTCAGAAAGCCCACTTTAAATGTGCCTTCTGACACCTTACCTTCTTTATCTCCCCATAGGGCCACGCACAACCATTCCTTCTCAAAGGCCAGAGATGGGAACATC